TTTTTTTACCCAGGCAGGGTTTGGACTGCGTGCGCGCGAGGCCACACCGGCCGTTCGGCGCCTATAAAACGGAAACAATCACCTTGGAGGTTTTTATTAGGGTTTGAAATTGGTCCCTTAAAAAGTAACTGAGGTAGTTTTAAAGAGAAGCATCGCCGCGCAGGACCTGAATTAATGGCGATCGTTAAGAAAATGACTGTTAATATGCCAATAAAAACTGTGTCAGGTAAAAAAAAGTACAAGCTACGTCCAGGAGGCAAGTAAATAATTGAACACGCACCGATAGATTTATTGTTATTTATCTTCCTTTATCTGAAATCATGAATTTATTAATTTATTGTAGCTAAAAGGGAATTTAATGCGTTACCTGACTCAGATATAAACTGATTTAAAGTGACAAAACTGACTTCTCTCTTATCATTAGAACTTATATTTTCTTTTTTTAAATTGTAGTTAACAACGATTCAAATTAGAAACTACCAGCACTGCAAAACAATATAGAAATAGGTAAAAATGTTTTAAATTAAGCTTATTTGCCCTTAATTTAAGCAGGTAAATGAGATGATTTGCCAGTTTTTACTCTTAAAATAAGATAATTAGATAATATGCAATAATATGCACTTGGAAGAAGTGAATGCAATTTTCTGTCTTATTTGAAATGTAAATTGTCCTGTTCCATTGGCAACTTTCCTCCTCAATTCAGAACAAAATGCACTTATTTTAAGAAAAAAATACTAATTTAGATTTCAATTTTTGCAGTGAGAGATGTGTTATATTTTAAGCATCCTTTATGCTTTTCATAGAGTTTTATAGAGTTTGCGCATGAGCCCATCGTCCCTTTTAATGTCATTTTACCTGTGAAAATACAAGGAAAGGATAGAGAACAAAGAGAGGGAGGGAGGATAGAGCCGTGTGTGTGTGTGTGTATGTGTGTGGGGGGGGGGTCTATGAGGGTAGGGGTGATTTTTCGCTGCACCGACGCTTTTTCAGGCTCAATGTGAAAATCCGGCCAATCAGCCGCAGAGACCCGACAAAAACGCCATGAACATTTACGACGAGCAGGCAAAGGCACTTTGTTTCACTACACCGGGCAAGTTGTTGGTGGGGGAGGGGGAGGGGCTGAGAGGGAGGGAGAGAGAGGGAGAGAGAGAGAGAGAGGGAGAGAGAGAGAGTAAGAGGGGAGCAGGAAAAAACAGAGTGACAAAAATATCTAATGTCTCTGCTTTTGTTCTGCCTGAAGTAAACTCGCCGTGGATTCTAGATAATGTCCAAGAATGTCCATTTCTGGGACTTTGAGCAACTACTACGTGGACTCCATTATAAGTCACGATAGCGACGAACTCTCAGGCGCGGCGCGTTTCTCCAGCGTCCAGTATCCCGGTTCCACCTCCGCTGCGGCCGATGGAGCCGCGCACCCCGAACTCGCTCATGCCGAGTCATACCCATCCTGCAGCTTCCAGCCCAAACCTCCCGTTTTCTCCTCACCCTGGGGCCCGTTCAGCCCGCACCACGGAGCCGGTGGCCTCCCGGCTGTCTACCATCCCTACATACCGGGTCAGCATGTGCCCACCGCAGAATCACGGTACATCCGCTCATGGCTGGACTGCACTCCGCGGAACCCGGAGTCTTTCCCGGGTCAGAGCCAAACTGGGCAGGTCAAACTGGAGCCCCAGGTTGGCCATCAAGGCGGGGAGCTTCCCATCAAAATCAGCGGACAACACGAGACCACCACGTACATCCTGGAGTCACTTTCCACGCCGGGGCGCGAGCTGAACCACCATGCCACCTCCATCCAGGGAGCAGGATTTGAAGAAAGCAAGGATGTTTGCGAAGGGAGTAAGGACAAGGACAGCGCGGATCAAAGTAAGTTATGAAAGCAGGAAATGATGCGCGGGAGAGGGAGAACTGGCCGGGAGACAATAAATGTTTTAATGCTGCCATAAAACAAGAACAAAGAGCCGGAAAGCTACAGTCATCCCACCCGCTGCCCCCACGGTGCACGCATAGGACCCCGTCTCTGTGTGCGTGCCCAATTAGACACACACACATAT